CCACAGGTGTATAAAATCAAGCAAGTCGCCGACTTTCTGCACAGTCAATTGCTACAGAGCTACAAACTTCATGTGACCTTCAGATTAGCCCAAGTACAGTACGCAGAGAGCTTCATGGAATGGGTTTCCATGGCTGAGCAGCTGCAGCCAAGCCACACATCACCAAGTGCAATGCAAAGCATCGGATGCAATGGTGTAAAGCACGCCGCCACTGGCAATTTGGTGGAGGAGGAATTATGGTGTGGGGTTGTTTTTCAGGAGCTGGGCTTGGCCCCTTAGTTCCAGTGAAAGGAAATTTGAATGCTTCAGGATACCAAAACATTTTGGACAATTCCATGCTCCCAACCTTGTGGGAACAGTTTGGAGCGGGCCCCTTCCTCTTCCAACATGACTGTGCACCAGTGCACAAAGCAAGGTCCATAAAGACATGGATGACAGAGTCCTGACCTGAACCCGATAGAACACCTTTGGGATGAATTAGAGCGGAGACTGAGAGCCAGGCCTTCTCGACCAACATCAGTGTGTGACCTCACTAATGCGCTTTTGGAAGAATGGTCAAAAATTCCTATAAACACTCTCCTCAACCTTGTGGACAGTCTTCCCAGAAGAGTTGAAGCTGTAATAGCTGCAAAAGGTGGACCGACATCATATTGAACTCTGGGTTAGGAATGGGATGGCACTTCAGTTCATAGTAGGAGTCAAGGCAGGTGAGCCAATACTTTTGGTCATATAGTGTATATCAAAGAACATTGAGGATCAGCTTGAGGATAAAGTGTGTGACAGCTGCTCTTCTACAGATGGATGAAGCCACTGACAGCAACAAAGATGGTTTATTGATAACATATGTCAGATTCGTAGATGGAGATAAATTGCTTTTCCGTTCCTTGCAGAGTCACAGCTGAAGATCTATTTAAAATCATTGACACCTACTTAAGAAAGGTCAATTTAAGATGCTAAGACTGGTGTGAGGATGTACAGTACACAGACAGAGTGCAAGCTATGGCTGGGTAATGAGGAAGGCTGCATAATCAAGCACATCTCCCCCCAATGTGCAGTGGACGCACTGCTTGTTACAACGTGGAGCGCTGGTGTCTAAACAGCCAAGTCGGGAGCTGAATGATGTATTAAACAACTTCATTGCTACAGACGAGTTCATCAAAACACGACTTGTCTAAACGTTGATTTTCTCAGCTACTGCGTGAGGAAATGTGTGAGTCTGAATGGCTCTCACATGGGAAGCTGCTGTCCAAGGTCTTTGAACTACGAGATGAGATCCTTATTTTTTCGAAGGAAGAGTGCAATGATCTTACCCACAAATTCTATTGTAACAAGTTCCTCGTGAAACTTGCATATTTGAGTGACATGTTTCTGAAACCCAGTGAAGTGAATTGTAAGGCACACATCTCTGCCCTTCAGAAACATTTTTAGAAATATTTCTTGGTGCAGGATCCGTGAGCCCTTCAGTGCAACACCTGCCGACTTCATCACATCAGAGGAGAAGATAGTTCATTGACATCACCTCTGATTCAACAACGAGGCTGCAGTTTCAGTCAAAGGCACTGGCTGCATTTTGGATCGGAGTGGATGTGAGATTATTTTTCTGCTGTGGCATCAATCAAAACAAAATACAGCTCAAGGCTGGACATTTAAAATGAAATACCTCAAAACTGCAACTCAGATTTGAGAAGTTCTGCACCTTGGAGCAGGCCCACGCCGGTCTGAAAAGATTGGTTAGATGGTTAGATGCATTAACAGCTCCTGTATAACCAACTCAAGCTTCAACATGACAGGGCTCAAACCACTCTCAACCTTCGCTACCGTTCTTTCTCTCGCATGCCCCACTCGCATATACGCTCACAGCCATTCACAGACAGACATACGCTACTAGTATAACATACAGTAGCCTACCAGAAAAGTCTTTGATCACTAGCAGTATGAACTTCGTTAGCCTGTAAAAATCTATAAATTAGCTGCATCATTGTTTAAGCCACAGGGTTCAAAGCGTGTGGAAAAAACTACCGGCTTATAGTCCAGAAATTATGCTAAGTGAATAGTGTAATTGTCAGATGTGTAGTGCAAGGCGTTCCGCCTATGTTTAAAAAATGAATTAATGCAATTGATGTTCTAATTTCGACAGCTGTATAATTTATGTATGATAAATGGGAAAATAAAATTGCTGAAAAGGATGCCCCTTAATGGCAAAAAAGTAGCTGATTAGTTTACTGCTGATACATTCTGATAAAGCTTTATCTTTCTGTGTCTCTAACAGGTGAAGAGGAGCTGCCATGGTGGCCGCCACCATTCCTCACTTCTTGTTCCTCTTCCCCCTTTTCCTCCCTCCCCACCCCTTCTGCTCTGCTGACAAGGACATGTCATTGTCGGCGGTGAGTCTAGATGGTGCCCCCCTTTCTCACATGGTTTTGGATCCAACGTCTGGCTTTCTGTATGTGGGTGGTGTTGACCACCTCTACCAGTTCACGTCTGCTCTAAAGATGATTTCGCATGTCAGGACTGGTCCTCACCTGGACTCCCCCGATTGCCTTCCCCCGATTGTCCCCAAGGACTGCCCCTCGGCCTCACTCACACACAACCACAACAAACTACTGCTGCTTGAGACGGGCCAGGGGATTGAGCCAGGGAGTCTGATTGTCTGTGGGTCGCTATTTCAGGGAATCTGTGATAAACGGTAAAGTCACAGAGTCGCTTTATACATTCTAAAGGTCAAGATTTTTTCAGTTGGTTTACATGAGGTACTACATGAGACACTACAATGTGCTGTTAGCACCTCTTGCTGCAGAAAAGACATACTGTAATTTAGCCACTTAACCCAAGACTTAGACTTAGAAACATTGGAGGATGCTTCAAACTATTATATAGGGGTGATCCTAAAGGAGGAATATGCAAGAAATGTGGTGGAGGTGAAACGATAGTCAGACAGGTTGATGTGTGTGAAGGTAAAAGTAGAGTGATGATGAGTGGTTATGCCCCACAGGTGGGCTATAAGATGGAAGAAAAGGAAAAGTTCTGGAATGAGCTGGATTGGGTGGTAGAGAGCATCCTCAGGAGAGAGAGTGGTGATTAGAGCAGACTTTAATGGTCATGTAGGGGAAGGGAACAGAGGAGAAGAGGAAGTGATAGGCAGGTTTGGTGTTAGGGAGAGAAACTTGGAAGGACAGGCAGTGGTAAATTTCGCGAAGAGAATGGAAATGGCTGTGGTAAACACCTATTTCCAAAAGAAAGAAAAATACAGGGTGACGTACAAGAGTAGAGGCAGGTCCACACAGATAGATTATATTCTATGTAGAAGAGGTAATCTGAGGGAGATTAGAGACTGTAAGGTAGTGGCAGGCGAGAATGTAGCCAAACAACATCGGATGGTAGTGTGCAAAATGACGATGGAGGTGACAAAAAGGAAGAGAGTGAAGACAGAGC